CTCCCTACAGAGCAAGTTGGCTTCTCCCCAGGCGGCTGTGGATGATGGGCACTGAGGTCCAAGGCGTTAGAGGGGGTTGGGGGGCAGGAAGAGGGTTGTTTTGGGGGGGGAGGTTCAGCAAGAGAAGCCCCCCCGCCAATGGGACCCCGGGGGGAGCGGAGGGAACGAGCAGGGAGGGACGGGGGGGGAGGAGAGACAGCCCACTCACGCCTCCGGAGCAGCCCCCCGAGGACCCCCGACGCCACCACCGCCATAACTGTCTCCGCTCTCCTACCGCAGTACCAGTGAGTGGATGGGCTAGACAGGCCTCTCGTCCTTCATCTCCGGAGGGAGGCGCCGTTTCCGCTCTCCCCGCCTCTACAGCCGGAGAGCTTAAGGCGCCCTTGCCCGCCCCCTCGTGGCCGAAATGGGAAAGCCGGGATTGACGTGCGGGGCCAAGCGTGGGCTGGCAGGGAGGCTGCTGGGAGTTGTAGTCCGTTTTTTTTTTTGTTTTTTTTGAAAAAGGCAGGCGGGGCAGAGACCCCCCCCACACACACACCTTCTATCCCATGAGGCTCAGCAATTTTAAGGTGGGTGGTCTTCAACTCCCAGAATTCCCTAGCCCAGGAGGCTGGCCTGGGGAATCCTGGGAATTATTTTTAACTAAAAAATGGCTAAATGTAAAAGCTCCATGGAGACAAGCAGGGCTGAGTCCTAAGATGAAGAACCCCCGGTTTTCCCTTGTAGAAAAGGCCTTTCATTAAGTCAGCGGGATCTTCCAACTGGACAGCCTTAAGACTGGTGGACTTCCACTCCCAGGATTCCTCCTCCAGTCATGTTAGCTCAGGAATTCTGGGAGTTGAAGTCCACCAGTCTTAAAGTTGCCAAGTTTGGGGACTCCTGGTCTCAATATATTTGCGTGGTGGGAGGACTTACTGCACGGGTCTTCAAACTTGGCAACTTTTAACACTTGTAGATTTCAACTCCCAGAATTCCTGAGCTAACATGGACTGGAGGAGGAATTCTGGGAGTTGAAGTCCACAAGTCTTAAGGCTGTCAAGTTTGAAGATCCCTGATCTACAGTATCTATCTTCTATCTCCATGTCTGTCTGTCTAATCCAAGGGTCTTCAACCTTGGCAAGTGTAAGACTTGTAGACTTCAACTCCCAGAATTCCTGAGCTAACATGGACTGGCGGAGGAATCCTGGGAGTTGAAGTCCACAAGCCTTAAAAGTTGCCAAGTTTGGAGACCTCAGATTTAGACAAAAGTCAAGAGCAGCAGCCAGGGACACACAATCACACACAAACCTTCCTATTTGGAAGCATTTTTAATTTCTCCCCCTTGGCATGAGTATTGGCAGCTCTCAGCCATTCAGTTTGGGATTTCCAAGTTGTTTCAAATATTCAAGGAAGCCATTATAGGAATTTTTTTAAAAAATTAAAAGGTATCAAAGATGCTTGGCCTTAAATTCTGTAGAGCAAAGGCCTTCAAACTTGGCAAATTTAAGGCTTGTGGACTTCAACTCCAGAATTCCTGAACTAACACGACGTTTCGCTTCTCCAGCTGTGACAGAATAGACTTGGCCCTAGCCCTATTCTGTCAGAGCTGAAGAAGCTTCCTGGATGAGAAGCAAAACATCTTCAAAAAGGAAAAAAGAAGGAAGTTGCAGTTGCCTCCTGAAAAAGAAAAGAAAAAAGCACCTTTGGGACTTGGCCTTAAATGTTCCTAGAAACCTAGGAAAGCTACAACGAAGCACGAAGGCTGTAGTAGTGTGGAACCCTGCACTGCAGAGCGTAGCACAGATTTAGCTACCATCTCCCTGCCTCCTTTCTTCAAGTTATAAAAGCCGCCCAGCATACAATAAAGCAAGGGAAAAGAATTTATAAAGTTTGCATAAAACTTTTAAACGGTACCTCCCCCTTTTTCTAAATTTACCCTGGTCTTCCATGAAAACAAGAGACCCCCAGACCAACTTAAATCCCCCACCCAAAAAACCCCACCCTCGGTTTACCTGACTTACCCTCTTCCACAAAAATTTCCCGAGGCATTACCAGGTTCAATTTTTACAACGATTTATTTTCCAAACAGCTTTATTAAATGTGCCAACTAGCACAGGCAGCACACATTGTATGAACCAGGGAGGAAGGGGGGGTGGGGGAGGGAGGAGAAGGAACATATCACATGTACGATCGTTTTAAAATTCGATGTCACCAGAACGCCACGGCGCTTTCTCTTCCCCGCTGACCTAGCTGCAAGGCAGCCTCTAGTTGAGCTTTTTTTTTTTAATTCGTTTTTTACAAAAAAAAAAACAAAAAAAACAAAGGGACACTGGAGCTTTGCCAAAAAAGAAAAGGAAAAAAAGGAAGAAAAATCACACACAAGAAAAGTTAACGGAGCAGTTTCCTCGGCCAGGAACCGATGAGCAGTTAGGAAGCGTGTTGGGCAGTTGAGAAGCAGAGTTTCAGGGTGTAGGGGTACGGCCCATCTAGGAGGAAGCCAGACACATTTATGAGTCGCCTCAAACTCTATTTACCCGAAAATACAAACAATGTCATCATCACACCAAAAAAAATGAAACATTTCTCAAGCGTTCCTGACATCTCCCACGGTGATCCATTTGGGGCTGGAATAGTCAAGGAAACACGTCTAAACAAATAAACCTCCCATATTCAGATTTAAACTAAGAACACTAGATCGGGGACCTTCAAACTCGACAGCTTTAAGACTCCCAGAATTCCTCTTCCAGTCCATGTTAGCTCAGGAATTCTGGGAGTGGAAGTCCACAAGTCTTCTTCAACTTGCCAAGTTTGGAGGCCCTCGCACGAGATTGTTGGGGGCGACAGGCTGAGTCTGTAAACCACTTAAGAGGGCTGCAAAGCCCTGTGAAGCTGTAGGTAAGTCTAAGGACTATTTGCTATTATAAAGTAATCCTCACGAGCACAACTGAGCCTCAAATTTTTGGTGGCTGAGCAAGACAATTGAGTTTCGCTCCACTTTACAACTATTTTTGCCCCGGTTGTTCAGTGAGCTCCCTGCTGTTGTGCAGTTAGTAAGTTAAATGAAATCGGTGGAGATGATCTCTACAGGCCTTAGGCCTGATGAGGCACACTTCAGAATGTGCCGGGGCTGCTTTTTCCTTCCAACCGATTAATTTGGCCAGGTCTCTAACACGGTCAAAGTCTGCTAAGTGTTTTCGAGACCTACTAGCTTCCCTTCCCTGCCCCTAAAATTAAACAGGAGGAAGGGGAAAGAAGCGGGGAGACTCCCCGACCCCACTGTCACCAAGGCCTCCCCTTCTTTCCTTCGGCATCCAACAGGGGCTTACTTGGGTTTTTCATCTGATAGTGGTTGAGGAAAGCCAGAGTCTCTAGCGCGTCCCCTTTGGTTTCCCACTCCAGCAGTCCCGAAGAGCTCCTTTCACCTGCAGGGGGGTGTCAAGCAAGATAGGGGTTAACCTGAAGCCGCCCCTCCTCCTTGGCAAACTCTCCAGGGCTGGACTACAGTTCCCATCATCCTGACCTCGCACTCTGCTGTCCTGGAACAGCGTGGCGCTCGGTCCCGGCGTCCCCAAGACCGACCCATCTCTGCCGAGGGATACTTACTCTTCCCTGAAAACACCTTGACAGACGCCGGTCTCTTCACGCCCAGCTCATCGCAAATCTGAGGGGGGGGGGAAATGCCGCATGGATTAACACAGGAGCGCTAAGCCTCCGCCCTGATCAAGCCTGTGCCTATTTTGGGGTTCTCCTCTTTGGTCAAGCCCTATTCCCAGGGGCTCCTGCACTGCCTTCCCATACAGTTTTCAGCCACCGTACAACTGCATTTTACGTATATTTCTGCACTGAGTTGAATATATACTGGTAGGAGCCCAAAGGAGGCCTTTAAGCATTATCTTACAGCAAAATAGCTTATTTACATGTAGAAAAAATAATGCACAAGTCACCGTTTGGGGTCAAATGTTTGTTAGAACCACTCTACAGCCTCTTTTATCAAAAAATGAGCATTAATCCGTTCGCATCTTCTGAGGAGGCCAAATAAAGAGGAGCTCACGTCCAGGCTCGGGACCTGAGTCTTGCCACCGAGAGGAGCCAGCAAGGAAGCCCAACGGGGTCTATTCTAATTGCTGCTTCTAGGCACCCCAGAGCCTCTGCTAGTATCATATCCAGGTGTGAAAATCTGTGTTTCCCCCCCCCCCTTTGGCATTACTGCTTCCTGCTTTTTGCAATGTAAGCGACATTTGGCAGCGAGACGCTGTCTGAATCCATTAAAGCCAGGGATCTCCAAATCTTGGCAACCTCTAAGCCTGGTGGACTTCCAACTCTCAGAATTCCTGGCTCAGAATCCCTTTGGGGAACTCTGGGAGTTGAAGTCCCCGAGGTCGTAAAGCAAAGCTGGCTGGGGAATGCTGGGAGTTGAAGTCCGCCAGGCTTAAAGTTGCCAAGATCCCTGCATTAAAGTCATCGTCACGTCGTATTAATTAAGGGCAACCATTTTTGCTTTCCCTCCTGTTCTTCCTAAACCCTCTAAGGCTAAGAAACATGAAATATAAACACATAAACAAACTGCTGGATTATTTTGCTCCCCGTTCTGGCCAGGCAGGTGGAGGCTGCCCCAGGCCCCAACCCTGACCTCGTAGAAGTTATCCTCCGTCACTTCCAGAGGCGCGTTGAAGAAATGGAGCACGTTGCTGGGATGCTGGATTCGGTTCTTGGCGGCTTGCTCCGGGGTGGAGAACCGATTGTTCCGGGAGCCGCTGAAATCTTTGTAGCTGCAGGAGCCGTCCTCGAGACCGTAAGACTGGCCAGGCATGATGGCCTGTTGCTTGGACACGCTGCGGACAAACCGAGACAGGCCCTGCTCAGTCACACACCCTCCTGGCTTTGGCCCTAGATTCCTCCCGAAGGCCTGGGGAGAAACGCCGCCGGAACTCACCAGACATTCAACTTCTGATCAAACATGAAGTTGTTGTTGAGGTGGGTGATGGCTCGGTCCACCGCGTAGCCATCGGCCATCTCCACCATGGCTGCACCAGGCTTGCTTTTCATGAACTTCACCTTAAAAAAAAAGGGGGGGGGGTGTTTCTTGATTCAACTACAAGAGGGCAAGAGAAGGTTGCTTTCAAAAGGAAGACACCCCCCCTCCACCCCCCCATCCTGGGTACAAACTTTGTTCCCATTTTAATAGGGTGTCTGGACTCCAACAAATCCACCCCCATTCAAATCATAAGTCTCTAGCCGCATCTCTCAAGAGTTAATAAAAAAAAAAGATTTATTAGGAGTGGCCATGTCCGCGTTAGCTG